ATTATATTTATTTGTCGACAGCAAACATTAGAAGACATCATAACAATGTTCGATAGTAAGTTCGATTTACTTTTGAATAATCTTTTTGTATCCATCGATACGTGTCAAACTGATTGCTCGACTGTTGCTTAGGTGAAGGATGGGGGACGTTTTGCGCGAATATCGGTCCCCATAGAAAGCACGATCAGTTTGGCATGAAACTTTCAGCAATTGTAGGGCTCAAAGTCAGTAGTCACTCCTATAAGTTTCAGCTTCATTGGTTAAGCTTTTCCCTTACTTTGATACTCAATCATATAGATCCTATTAGGTCTTCTATGGGCCAATGAATCATTCATTTTAGACGGCGTATACACATGCTTTGACAGACGATTTACGTACCATTCGATAGAAAATTTAATTCCAAACAAAAATTGTACAGATATATTCGAGTAAAAACCAAAGATTGACTACAAAAAATTCTGAATACCCTTGATATGTGGCTTTCCATACTGAAATCTACTTATATCTGCTGCCATCAATGATGTTTTTGGGTTGTTCGCATGTATTTTCCCCAAGGGGGAAACGACGTACTCTCGTACTCCTGTACTCTACGGAGTCCATGTACTCCAACTGGACTCCATGTACTCTCACTGGACTCCGTGGACTCTGTGGACTCTAAGAGTACAATGAGAGTCCACAGAGTACGGTATATTGAACGTTAACTATAGATTCATAATATCTTTAATATTTCTATTAAGTTCCCCCATTTCTTCGTCGGAAACGACTCTGATGAAAAACAGACTATTTTACTAACTAGAATTATATTGACTTAATTTTTATAACGAAATAAGCAAAACTAAATACGACCAGGATCTCGAAGAATCTAGAACTCTTCTTGCGCTGCTAGTATAAACTTCTTGTTTGGGCTATGTATCAGCATGCGAAACATAGATGTCGACTAGAAAGTAATGTACTAACTATATCTCTCAATTAACATAAGTCTGTAACTAATCATTAACACAAAAATCAGTTGGCGATATCCGGAGATCGAAAAATATCCACTTGCAGATGAGTAGGCAAATGAAAACACGAATTACATCATGACCCAAATATTATTGACAAGTCTATTGCGTTATTTAGACAATGCATTCAAATCATTTTTTTCTTGTAACATATAAAAATACGTTCTATTGTTGTTCTTCATCTATATTTTAAATATTTCAATACAAGATGCAAAAGTCAAATTATCAAGTTTTTTTTCAAAAATATAATAAAAAAAAGTGACTTTTGACAAAAAAAACAAAAAGTTCTAACAAATCATTTCTTCGTTATGTCCTATTTTTGCATAACACGAGTGAGACGATCGTTTGACAAGACCGGCTTGTTTTCAGTAAAAATCCAACAAGCAGTCTGTTTGTGAACAAATTTTTTTTTACCACCTATTTCAACTTCAAAAAAAGATTTTGCCAACTCGGATCGAACTGTGTCGAATACTCGCATTCCAGAGAACTTAATTCCATCTAAACCATTTAAGATTTAATTTGACGAGATACATGATGTTTCATATTGTTGATCTTCACTTTGAACGTCACTTTCTGAATCGAGAACAATATCTAATTCATCTTCTGAATCTGATGTTTCATCTTTTTCTTCGTACAAGTCAGAATAATCCATAATATTTATTCTTTGTGTTAGGATGTTGTGAATATAGCTGTTAAGTTGTTTCATATTTGTAATTTTCTTTTCATCAAGAAAATTTTTAATTTTAAAACCGTGTATTAAGTTAGCAGCATCATTAAATGCTTGTAAAATTGTATTTGTAATTATATCTACATTGAGTGTATTATGATTTGAAATTATATTATATGTTTTTTTAATTTTTTTTCCTTGTTTATAATGTTTTGGAAAAACAAGAGTACCATCCATTGACAAAAACTCACTTTCAGTTTTGATTTTATTTAAAAGAGAAAGTTTCTGTGCACGATTAAGAAATTCTTGTACAGTAAAATTTACAACAGACGAAAATGTTCCTGACATGGAGCGGGCAGAGCGAAACATACCCTCACAGGTTTGAGAACTAAATAAGTAAATATTCATTGCTTCTGGTAGTAACTTTTTTTCTGTTACTAATAAGGCAAGATACATTAGTTGATTAGCATTGATTTCAATACAATAATAGGCATTATTAGTAATAAAGAACTGGTGTTTTTTATTTTTTCGATTATTTTTAATTCCACTAAGTTCATATAAAATATCATCTAAATCTACTTTTCGCATGTTAGCAATCCAAGTGTATCACCAGCGACTAACAAAAACTGAAAACCATGCATGATAAAGTCTATGAATTGGAGTTGTTTCTTTGTCATTGTATGCAATTATAATAGGACGAAGAAGGCGAGGATACAATATTATGCCCTCAGAATTAGGAACATTAGTTAAATTATTAATTACACCGTCACTACATATTTTAACATAAAAACTGAAATTTTGACGATCCTGTGGGAAAATGTCAGATTCTACTAAACCATGTCGTAATTTTGGAACGTTTTGAATTAATGTTGAGAGATAATCAATAGAAATACAACTATTTCCAATTAACATATTAGCTTTACGAGATAACAGTCGATTATGTAATTTAGTGCAAAGATGCGTGGCATCTTGAAAGCATAAAAATCGTTGACTATCATTAAGAAAATACCAATTACACTTCTTTTGAATTTTAACATGAAATGCATCGTTATAACTATTTAATTTAATATTTGGTAGTGTAGCAAAAAAACCGGTAACAAGGCGCATTGCGCGAAGATATTTTGGATCTCCATCAGTGGAGAATCCAACAATACGAACATTTTTTAACAAACTTTGTTCGAATATCCATATCCAACGACGAATAATATCAATTGATTCATATTCATTATTAGTTCCAAAAGCCGAAAGTAAAAATGGATTTGGTGATACCTGCATATTAGTGATAGGCTGAATCATATGGATATTAATTAAAGACAAATAATCTTCACTAGAAAACCACTCACGAAGTCTTTTAAAAGAGTCTGTTTGGTAATGTAAAGCGGCAGGTATTCCATCATTTAATGGTGCAGAAAAACCCACGAATGAATT